CTTGTTACTCCTAAGGTCACTGGCCATTCATTTTCTCAAGATCATTGGCCCTTTTATTCCTGTTGGGGAGGGGGTATGGCAAATGATGGGCATGGCAAAATGCTTTTCTAACATTGAGAATGTTACCTAGCTCTGTGCAATGATATGTGGGGTGTGCAGATTCTGGGACAAATGCCTTCCCTTATTAAATGGGGGTGGGGTGGGGGTGGGGGTGGTGGTGTTATAGAGAAATGCTCTGCCTTGTACCATCTTCTGCCTCATGCATTTTAATATGATGGAGACTGTGATGCTTGGAGCTGATGCAACCATCTTGTGACCAACAGGGAAAATAAAAACAATGACAGACACACCAGTCACTGTCACTTTGGAGCTACTGAACCAACCCAACCAACACTGTGGTGTAGGCTTCTTGTCATGTGGGAGAATAGCCTCCTATGTGTGTAGGTCAATTTGTGGTCATAATTTTCTCTTTTTAGTAGCCAAAAACATTTCCATTGTGCATTACCAGCTCTTCTACGTAACAGCATCTGCTTTGGCAATGCCTAGACTTCTCCAGTAATAGATTCAACCATTGGATGACAAATATTTTAATTGGCATTTCTGAACTACCTATTTTATAATAAAGATTCTTACCAATGGTTTTTAAGTTTCATTTAAAATGGCCCATAAATGGCTATTTTATTTTCAAAGGACTCCAAGTGTTTCAATGACTGGAGAGGACAGCATGGCAAGGCCAAGACGGCAGCCCCCTCGGGGGCAAGACTTGGCACAAGTGCCATGTAGCTGGATGCTTGGCTCCACTGGTCTAGGAAGAGTCTTCATGCACCAGGGTTTTGTGGGTCCACCTGGGCACTCCTGTTTGCACCGTGATAAAATCCAAATGACATCATTTACCTGAGTGGCATCAATGCTTCTAAGATTTCTTAGGGAAAGGAAAGAAAATTAGTTTGCCTTGACCTGGCAACATATAAATTAAATATCATAGATCTATTTTGAAGAAGAAAAAAGATAAGTTCATTTATAAGGATGTAAATGAAGAAGAAAATAGCATCTTCCCATTTTCCAACTTTATTGAAGGGCAGGGAACAGGAGCGGCCTTGTGAAGAATGTGGATGCCAAACATTGTGTTTGTCCTCATCGTCCCGAGAAGGCAACGGGAAGCACCTGGAGAAAAGCCACACGTGTTTCCCACCTTGTTCCTGGGGATTTTGATAAGTCCTCGGCATATTTTAATGGGGGGTTGCATTTAGGAACTACCAGAACAGAATTAATTAATTTACTAAATAATTATACAAATAGCACAGGAATATTGGGTTACAAAATTGGCAAAAAATAACACTTAAGCCAAAGTTCTCATTTCTCTCCCCTTCACTCTAGCTTCCCACAGTAACGATGTTTGCTATCAGCTCAGTGTGTAAACATCAGATTCCTTTTTCCTGGACCACCCAGTACTATCATAGTCCTGCTGGCGAAAAACGTGTGTGTGTGTTGATGAATGTTAACACAAATAACTTCTATATTCTCTATGTACTTTATAAGTTTTATGCAACGTTTCAAGTAACAGTGTCTTTCAGATAATGTCCTTTATTAATATAGATAAAATTCATTTATTTTAAAGGCCAGCACGGTGGTATACTGAGGTTCATTTAAATATTCCCATCCAGTGTCCAAATCTCTCCAAACTCTGCAGTCCGTTCCGTCACAACAGCCTCAATAGATTGGGCATCTCCACTCACAGAAACCCTGGATATTGTCTCAGTTTGGAGAGTCATCCTTTCTCCTCCACAATTGTCTGCTGTCCTGGATCACCAGTTTTTGTTTCTTACTGCTTGTGGTAGTCGCCTTGTGGAGTTTCTGATATATAGATTTAATGAAAGCAGTTCTTAAAAATGGTTCTTAAGTCTCCATCCCATGTATTTTCTTTTTTTTTTTTTTTAAAGATTTTTATTGGGGAATTGGGGGAATGGGAACAGTGCTGGGGAATTGGGGGAAGGGGAACAGACAAGTTGCTGTCGTCTTGTTCTTCAATCTAGTTGTGGAAGATGTTGCTTCACTAGCCCAAGTTGGCACCATCATTGTGCTCTTCTCTGGCGAGGCAGATCAGTCGCCGGCTTCTGGACGGCCGCTCACTGTGGCTGCTGGCCGCTCACGCTGGCTGCTGGCTACAGACGGTAGCCCATGGCAACCCACTGCCACAGGGGCTGCAGCCTACGCCATCGCTGGCGACTCATGGCAGCCCAGCTCCAGGTTGAGCTGTTGTTCAGCATCTTAGCTGTGGAGGGCAGTGTCACTGGCCCTCATATGTGGGATCCGAACCGGGGCCCTCTGGCATCCCAAGCGAGTTCTTAACCATCGCGCCACTCGGCCGGCCCCATCCCATGTATTTTCAAGTGTTCCCTTCTCACAAACATTGTCCATGGATGCAGGACTCACTTTGGTCTCTTCTGGTGGAGGCTTTATAAGCCAGTGAGGGACTCCCCGTGGTCTCAGCCTCATGGGGGTCGTGGAAGCACGTGTGGACACCAAGGCTCATCAGCCTGGGTCTCTGAGTGGGAATGACCAACCTTGCAAACCTTAATTAGATTTGTGGCATGAATGAGAAACGTTTGTTGTGCCAAGCTATTGCGTGTCAGGGTTATTACGTCAGCATGACCTTGCCAAGTTCATTATTCCACACACAAAACGACGCTGGGACGTTGGGCTTCCCATGTCACTCAGCTCCACGGCAACGCGTCTCAGCACAGGTGTCCATGTTTCTCATCTTGTCCGCCATCTTCCCACTGTAGTCAGGCTTCAGCACCCCTAAAATCACTTCCAGTATCCCTGATGCTTCTCACATTTCCAAAGCCAGCGGCCAGTCTCTGTCCCTTGCTGGACCTCACAGGAGTACTCACCATTATGAAAAATGAAAATTATTTTCTTGCCCTTTTGCCAGGACACCACACTTTGAGGCTGACCATTAAGAGAGCCCATTCTGAAGTCAGATAACGTGAAATCAAATCAACTTATACGACTTAGCCTACTTTCCTCTCATTTTGCCAAAAACTCCCAAATAAAATGGAAATAGTAATAAGTTTTAAATCACAAAGTTATTGAGAAGAGTAAGAAAACGCATGCAAGGTTCCTAGCACATAGTAGATACTCAACTCAGTAAGTGCTAACTATTGGTTATGTATTTTCTTCATTATTTACAATTGCCAATTCCATTGTTTGGGGACAAATAATTTTGAGTCTCTTCTGTTGCCAGAAAACTATCTTCGTGGGTAGAATTCATTCATCGCCCCACAGTGTTCTAGATTTTAGATCTGGAAGGGACACATAACAGTCAATTAAAGTTAATATTTAATCAACATTTCTTGAGCAGCTATTCTGGACTGGGCTTAGGAGTGAGACCAAGACTCCAAATGGAAGAGAAAGCAAGTGATGTTGGAAATGGACTTCCAGGTGGCAGTGCAGCCCCACCTGTCCCCTCCCCCACCCTTAGCCCAGGTGGTCAGCAGTAGGCTGACCGTGCCTTCCATGCTGGGTGGGCCAGACTGTCTGTCAGTGGCCACCCCCTGGACATCCCTGACCGGGGCCCCTGTGGATGTGGCCGGAACGACCTGGCGCGGTGCTGAGGCAGCCAGGCCCCTCACTCGGGGAGTGGCGCCGGCTTGCAGAGAAAGGTCTGGGCAGGCCCTGCCGCCAGGTGGCTGGCTGCAGGTCCAGCTGCCTCCCTCCTTCATCCGATTTCCGGGCCGAGTGTTACTGTTTCCAGTGGCGACCTGGGGACTGTAAATTCTGAGGCTTGTTGACGAGTTCTGAAGAGTACTGTGTAAATAGATCTCATGAAATGTGCTCTCAAGGCCCCGACATGGCGTTAAGTGCTTTGAAAAATTATCTCATTTAACCCTCACAACACATTTCTGAGGTTGGTACTATTCTCTCATCTGAGGTTCAGGGACAGGAAGCAAAAAATTGGCAAATCGGGGATTGGACATTTTAAATGGACCAATGGCAACAGCGTGAGTCCTTTCTTAGTAAAATATATTCTACGAGCAGGTTTTCCGACCTTTAGAATGTAGTTGGTAAAGAAAAAGAGGGAGTAGAAACCCCATCTGACACGATTGCCACTGATATTTGATCACTCACCCAAATAATATTGAGTGTGGGACCATAAACAGATTCACACTAAACATTTTAATGCGAATGGAAGTATTCTTGTCTTCACAGCCCTTTGCCGCTGAACCAAGGCTTTTGTCTGTTGAGTGAGTGTCTGCAGCCAGAGGCTCCCCACGTCCCTCTCGTTCATTGCAAGAATTCGCAGGGGCATCAGCAAAGACTTCCAGCTTGAGTTTCCCTGCACAGGGAGGTCTGCTGTGTTTTTACAATTATGGCTGATTTCTCCAGTTATTTAAAACTACTAACAGTTAATTCTACAGTAATTTTTCAGCAACATGTCCCTCCTGACTTATTTCATAGAGCATACATATGACTTCAGTTCTAAATATTTACATAAAACTGAAAGCTTAACATTTAACTGTCATGAGTGGTTTGGGGAGTGAATGCCGCCAACACTTAGACCTCCTGACTCAGCTGGGGGTCGGGCGTGTGGGGTGACCCCTGGCGTGGTCAGCGAGGGGCAGGCGGCCGGCCAGGGACGCTCAGAGACCGAGGAGGTTGTGCACAGAGGACCTACCTGTGACTGCTCGTCCGTAAGGTCACATTCATGTCTCCTGGCACGGGCGCCGCTTGCTCCATTGTTTGGTCTTTTTCTGTGTCGTTATGTCCCTGGATGTCCCTTTGCTAACAATCCGCATGTCCCATCAGCTTGTGGACATGAGTCTGCTGCTTGTGCAATGGGAACAGAGCACAGCATAAACTTCCTGTAAAAAAAAACAGACTAAACGCCCATTTAGACATCACAGATGTGGCTGCATGACTTTGGAAATCATTCAAATATGTAAGGTGTGGTTTCCTTACATCAGGGTCATTTGTTGGAAATCCCGTGACGGCGGACATGCTGGGTTGCTTTCTTCTCATGGATTACATACTCTGCTGCTACACTGTCCAGGAAGCAGTCACTGGCTCCGTGGGGCTACTGAACTCTAAATACAGCTGGAACCACGACAAGCAGAATTTTCATTGTATTTCACTTTAATTATTTCAGTTTCAAGTTCGGCAGCCATGCCTGACTCCGGCCATCATTGCAGCCAGCACAGATCTCTGTGTGTTCCTGCAGCATTTCCTCAAAGACTGGGCTAACGTCTAGGACCGGCTTCGAAACTAAACGTGAAGGTAAATTATAGGAACGCTTCAATGTTCCCTGGGAGATTGCTTCTTACTTTGATTAAAGGAGAAGGTGTGATGTAAGTACCTGTCTTCCCACGAATATATGCTGCCCGTACAATGAATCATTCTTCTTGTCTCTAGATAATTTTTTTTTTCTTTTGGCTTAGTTTAGTGTGAACCTCATTTAGGAGGGTACGAAGAAAGACAGAGGGCAAATGCTTTGCCTTCAGGATGTAAGCTAAGTCTTGTGGGAAATTACACGCAAATCTATGTAAATATCCACATTCACATCAATGTCATGACATGAGCAGAAAAATGATAAAGCAGAAAATGCAAAATAAGGCAAATATGAAATCAGATAAGCCAGTGATGGCATTCGAAACATAATGATCATTGCAAAGCTATAATATCGGGGTTCAGGAAAGTTATGCACACCACGGCTCCTGATAACTTTGCGTGTAGCAGGTCAGCCTCCCGGAATGTTTCCGACCTGGACCCTGCACGAGCCTGTGGATTTTATCACCCAATGGGAAATCGTGTCGTAGTGACCACTGGACATACAATTTGTGTCAGCATCCTCCAGTCAGGACAGGTGCAGTGGACTCAAAGTTTTGGGATTGAAGTTACCTATTGATGTTTGTAATGTTCAAAAATGGAGATGAGACCAAGCAGAATGGATTCGAAGCATGTGTTTGAACCATTTTACTGCTGCGGTGGTATTTTAGTGTGGTGGGGGGCATCTGGAATGTCTGCTATTCACTGAAATATTTTTATATACAATAGTTGTGAAATGTATTTCAGAACATGTTTTAGCAGTGTTTCCCCCAAATTTTAATGAGCACAGTTTTGCTGTATTGATTTCAATTATATAAAGGAACAGCCCCAGGTACTATTTGGGTGTCAGGAGGGATAAGGAGACTAACAGGAGATAGGGAACCCCTTCTCTGCATAAACCCTAAGATTGCACGTTGTCAACACTGGTCCTTTGCCACGGGGCCGGGGGGATGATTCTAATGAGTGTGAGGGCTACATGTTTATGTTTAAAGCTGTCATACGTTGAACACTTTGTAATATCGTGCAGTCCTTAATGAGATTTTTAAAAAATCTTCTTATCCTCTGTTGACTGGCTACTAAGCTTGATGAGTTTCACCCAGTTATGTCCAACCAGTTACTATCACGCAGGCGAATAAACTGCTTACATTCAGTAGCTTCCCCCTGTGGAGACTTAGAGAAGACACAGTCTCCATCGGAAAGCCATGGGTGGCCACGTTGCGTTACGGCACGGCTGTCCAGCGCCTTAGGGTGAAATGGGTTACCTGCATCCCCGGGAGCTCCCGAGCACTGGGTGGGCCTGCTGAAGCTGGGAGTGGGGCTCGGGTTTGTGAATCCACAGTTCCCAGAAGAAGTGGCTCGTCGGAAGCTCCTTTCCTCACGAGACATCCACAAGTGTTTGGTTTCTCTTGTGTTGAGAACCTCTTGCCACTGGCAAGTCTTCACTGGGGAAGAAAGCAGTTGGCCTTGGACAAACATCGGCGTCCTTCTCTCTCTGTGCCCCACCCTTCTTTATGCGAAGTGAAATGAGGCATTTCCTCAATACCCTTGGATTCGCCTTTGTGTCTTATCACCAGTCCCACTTTCCCTCCATTTTTAGAAGGAGTCCATTCTTATGACTTTGGTGTGTATCCTTTCTGGCCATTTACAAAGCATTTCACATACATCAATTTCTCCGTGAAAAATGTTTGGTGAGTTTGTGTTTGATTGTTTTGCTGACGGGACAGTAGTCACAAGGGTGCCTCTCAGAACCCCTCTCACAGGGACAGCCCCAGAGGCTGCACTTGGAAGGCCACTGTGGCTCCTGCTGGGGGACACAGCCTGCTCCCCACCAGTGACTGAGTGCTGAGGGGACCCAAGGCAGACCAGGTCTCTGACACAGGTAGCTGACTGGCTCAAGGGCTGCCTGTGGGTTTGGTGATCCTCAGACCTGGACGGTGTGGGTCTCTTCCCTCTGTCACTCAATGACAGGCTAGCATTAGTGATGGCCCGCCCCATTTCCCCTGCCTCTTCTCTATTCTCTTCACATGGGCATGTCCCCTAATAAAATCCTGAAATGTTTTCTCTTCTCTTGGTGACTCAGACTAACAGTTAGTCTCCCCCTATGTAAATCCTGCCTCACTACGTTTTGCTCTCTACTCATTATCACAGAGCTCAATTTCATTCCTTTCTACTGACCTGTAGGATTCAGTCTTGTGGATACATCGCATCATAGTTATGTGTTCCCTTGCTGGTGGGCACTTACGTGGTTTCCTTTTTCTTGCTATTATAAAATATGGTCTAGTTAACACCCTGGTACAGGTTACACTGGGAAAGAGTCATTCTAATGTATAAACCTTGGCTTGAAATTATTGGATTATGGTGTGTCCACATTACCCATTTTCCTATGTACAACCATATTTCTATATAAGAAAATGAATATGAATCAATGTATATTTCCACCAATAGAGAATAAGAGCCCCTGTTTCTTCTTATTCTTGTCATCACTTAATATTGTGAGATTGTTTTATATTCTGATGTTCTCATCAATGTTTTTATATACATTTCTTTGACTCTAATGAGGCTGACCATTTTCTTTTATATTGTTTGGAACCTTTTCAGTTCTTATCATGTCCATATATTGTGTTGTTTATAAAGGCAGTTTTGAATTGGAGAAACTATGGATTTAATGGTAATCTGGTTCAATCTGCAATGCAAGATAGAATTCTTTTCTATAACCACAGGAGGACCATCTATTTAAATACTTCCAATTAAATAATTTTTACTTGCACCCTGTGCATATCTTTTAATATTGAAGAGTTCTTAGCTCTAATAAATAGTCCTGTGAAAGGTTTCTATTTAGCAATCCTTGATGTTCAAAGACCTTATATTCATATTCACAATCACAGGCTGGTAAGCTTTTCCAGGCAATTTGTTTTCTCCTTACAGTCTACATATATATTTTAGTGGCTTTCAATTTATATATTTAATATTTCTGTTCTATACTTGATGCCACCAAAGCCTCATGTTTAGGAAATTTTCATTTGTTCAAAAGCAGGATTGCTGTAGATATGGCTTTCTCCATTCTTATTATATCTTAGTTAATTTTGTTATAACTTCCAAAGACTATACTAAAAAAAATAAATTATTTGGTGCTTAGTTACAACCAGACCACACACATGCCTACGTTGGTGTGTTGGTTGGGAAACTTTGAGGTATTATAACAAAGCTCGCTGGAGCCTGTTTAAAGAAAATGGGGGAAATATAAGATTGGTTTCAGGTTACATAAACATGTGTAATGATAGGATTGCTTCAGAACGTTGGAATGAACTGAAATAGAGGATGCAGTAGTGAAAAGACACTCATTCTGTCTTCCATATCTGATCTTTTTCTTGTTTCCTCTGTATTTTTGATTCCAGGTATCACACTGGCTTTCTCTATTTCCCAGGTCACATGTTGGAAATACAGTTTCTGTGACATCCTAACTTTTCCTGTTGCTGGCCTCCCACCTGGAAATCAACTGGATTGACTCTTTCCACTTCCAGGGAAGAAATTTCATGAGCTCATTGGGTTAGCTGCCCACTCCAGGTCCACAGACCATGTCCAGTAGGGTAGAGGCTCAACATGGCTGCTTCAGCTGTGCCAACGTGATTTGCAGGGTGCAAGACACAGAGACTAGACTGGGAGCTGTTTTTAGACATAAGATTGGGCTTAATAATCACTAGAATAGGTGCTTACCACAGATGGTGAATGTTGGGTAACATTTTATTAAACACCTATTTTGCATTCAGCATTGGGCTTGACTTCTGGGTCAGAGGACGGAAATTCGAGGCTATTTATACTTCTTGCCGTAGAAATGAAAATGTCATTATGTAGTATCTGTTATATGGCAGGCAATACTGCCGACTACGTTTTGTCTCATTTAATACAACAAATCTACAGGTTGGCATGGTCAGTGAACCTCTCAGGTCCTTCAAGAGAACCAGTGGCCAGGGGCATTGTTGATTGACAGCTTCTAGCGGCCACCTCCTTGAATTTGTCCCTGTGTTCACACCAGGCCTTTTCCTGGGCTGCTTGTCCCTAGCCAAGTACTCAGCCCAGTGGGTCAACAGAACAGGGTCAGCGCTGCCCTCTGAGGATGTTCCAGTGATCACGTTCGGCTTGGGAGTTCTCTACCAGCCGGAAGACTTTTTTGAGAACTGTGCTGTGGTGTACGGCGCGTCAGACGCACCCCGTTTCTCCTCTCACAGGTGCCGGACGCCTGCTTCCCACTTCCCTCCACCGCCTTCTTCCTTCACAAGCCTTTCCCCCCAACAAACCCCTTGCATATCTAGCCCATCTTGGTGTCTGTTTCTTAGAGGACCTGAGCAGACACCTCCATTGCCTTTTTACAGATTAGAAAACCAATTCATAGAGAGGCTGGATATGTTTCCCAAGGTCACATACATACTGCTAGTAAAAGGAAAGTTCCAGAATCAAACATAAATCTCTCTGACATGAATGCTCATATTCTTCCCATGACATAATATGCTTTCCACTGTAGATGGCAAGTTTTATGAGAACGTGCTCATTAACTTGTGAGATTTTTAGAATAATGTGTTATGTCAAAAAGCAATGGTAGCTGTTACTCTTCTTATTTTTGCCTTTGTTCATGTATTGTGAGAAACTTGGACAGCAACTCAGCATAGCACCTAGAAAAGCTGTGTGGCAGGTCGTGAAGATGGCCAGGTAGCCCTCGTCACCTGCCTCCACACCCTGGCAATGTGACACTGCACATCTTCGCATTGAGAAGTGGAGAGCATTTCCGAGCCCGTGAACGGAAGTGGAGCTGGCGACCCTGGACAGTGAGCACGTATGGGGATACTACCCATGTGAGCCCACAGAGGGCGGACTCAGAGAGCTAGGTGCTAAATAGACGGTGTTGCTTTTGAGCCAGTGGATGTTGGGTGGCTCATTATGTGGCGACATACCGCTGCTGTCCGGCCATAGCTGCAGAGAGAACGTATTTGCAGTGGGCACTCTCGGTGGTCTAGCCAATTAGCCCTTCCCTCTTTTTGTTATCATCACACTAATGGTCTTGAGGAATTTGGCACAGTATAAGCTCATAAGCCTCTCCCCAGTGCCAGCTGGGTAAATGCTGATTAGGATAAGCCAATCACAGTGATGTCATTTATTTTGCTGGTGAATAGGCAGCGGAGATAACGCCTACAAAGTCATCTGGGAATTCTCCTGGAGGGACTTTTCTGGATACAAAGCAGAAACATGCCACATCTGGGATATTGTTGTTTGATGACGTGATGTGTGCAGCTCTGGCAAACGACCTTCAAGCTGCAAGTTGAAAGTCAAGAGAAGCTGATGTGGATAACATCTCTCATGGTGCGTTGTTGAGCCCCCAAATTAAACAACCCTCGAACTGCCTACTCAAGACATCCTGTTATGTGAAATACTGAATTCCCTACTGCTTAAGACTTGTAAGTGAGATTTTTCTGTAATTTGTAGTTCATGGCATCCTATTTGATAAAGTGGTTACATTTAAGGGTCTTAAAAATGCAGTATAAACTTTTGAAATGAACACATGAATATTCATGCCAGGAGATGAAGCCCAACCACTAATAAACTTCCCTTTTTCAGACTTTCTATTCCCTTCTCTCCTCCTCTTCTCCAAACCTACACGGAGATTTATAAAAATACTCAGCAAGAAAAGCAACACTGGTTTCATGCCAGGATAATGCTCTCCAATTTTCCCAAGTATTGCTGTATATTTCCATTTTAAAAACACACTGATTCCTTTAAAATGAATTTGTATAAACTGGCATTTCATATGCCACACAATCAAATTACTAGAAAAGAGCCTGGCAAAATGCATTTAATCTTTGAGGAGATGATCTGAACCCTTCAGAGAAGGTCAGAAACCATGGGCCAAAAAGACCATTTTCAAAATTGCTCCTGGGATTAACTGCGTAGGTAGGGAAATGCAATGT